GGGGTTGTGTAAAGAACACAGCCATCCCAAAAGATTGGGACAATAGGTAGCCATCAAGCCCAAGATATTAGCCCGATAAGTGGTTCACACAACAAAGGGAAAGGGGGGGAGCAATTCAAGTTAGAATTAGTAGGTTAGCAGGGGTTAGGAGAGGGTCGCAAGACCCAACCATAGGTGGGGTGCACGCCCTTAAGCGCGCTTTTCGCCGCCTAGCACCCATAGCAGCTCATCAGAGGGGTTAGCTTAGAAATCAATTGCTCCTGTTAGCAAGCGGAGAGGGGAGGGGGAGAGGGGGGGAAAGGCATGGTGGGCATTTAAGGGGGATATGGAGTTAGCAAGCCATACCTGTGTCGTCATAGCCGGTGCCGCCGGATTGTCAGCAGTCTCCATGGGAGGAGTTGTGGCATTCACAGCGAAGTATCAGAAACTCACGGTGGACGCACAGCGTGCAATGCACTGTGCTGCAACCGACAGAAAACAGGTACCCACTTCGCTCTCGGCCGAACAGCAGTGTTACGGCAAGAGGAACAGGGGGGACTCTCGTTACGTGAGAAAGGAGTCGTAGTGTAAGCGCAGTCGTTGCAATGAGGTAGCGCGAGCATACATGCAATAACATACGTAGCAATGATGCATGGTGCATGCAGTAGCATGAAGGGGAGAACAGTTGTGTGGGTGGTGCTTGTATAGTAGAGCGATTCATGGTATGGGTAATGCTTTACAAGGGTACGCTGTGGGACGTGAGTAATGGTGCCATGTGTGCGTATAGATAGGAGGGTGCAAGGAAGGGGAAGGATTTCTTGCAGCAATTGCCAGGGGTGGAGTCCTTTTTGTGAAAGCATATCTGCAGTAGTAGTCGTGTGGGTGCAACACGGCAAGTGGGTCTGTAGCGACATGTGTCATCTGCGCTAGTCTGTGCTGTAAGAGGTCTGTTTGCAGCTTGCGGGCAAGGCTCTTGGTATGTGCCGCGTGGGCATAGAGTTGGGCAGGGTAGTTCTGTCTTATTACGTTGTCTTGGTGTGCACGAACATGTGTAGTTGTGCGTCTTTTACGTTGTTGGCGGGAAATACTGGCTATGGGGGAAGTAGGTATCGTCGTGCTTCGTTTTGTCCTGTAGGAGTGGGATTTTGTTTTTTGTAAATTGCTAGTGTCGTTTCGGAGTGGTGCTAAGAACTTTTGTTGTATCTGTACAAGTTATTGGGTCTTTTCCGAAAATACGTAATGTTCTAAAATATTTAGCAATGCGCGAATCGGTGCCTTTGTTACGCGTGTGCAAAATCTGGTTTGGTATAAGGGAAAGCATACCCATAATTCTAGTGCGAACAGTGGTTGATGTGGTAAAGAAGGTAGCCTGTGCAGTTTAGATTAGCCAATAGATGTTACAGGTTCCTGGTGGGGGTATGCATAATGGTTATATTGAGGGCTGAGAGCTGGGAAGCGGAATATGCGAGTATTTGCGTATAGCTACCTGCAGGAATTTTACCGGCTGCATGCTTGCTTATGGGTCTCAGAGGGGGCATCGTACGTTCTCCTTTTAGTCTTACCGAACTGCGAAGTTGCTACTTGTTAATTTGCTGCCGGTTGTCTTTTTAGTATTATTATATTTTTATAGCTATTATGGCCTTTTACCTGTGCTGCTTTAGTGTTTATTATTACTTTTATATATTTTAATTAATCTAATTTCATGTTATTAATCTATTAATTCCTTATTTTATTTTTTCTTTTGTTAAAAATATCATCCCTTTATATATTATTATGTTTATGTTTTTATATATATAAAAAAACAACAAAGAAAAATAATTTATTTATTATTTTTTTAATTATTATTTTTTATTTTTTTATATAATATTATTTATTTAGTTATTTGTTCATTAATTCTTTTTATTAGTTTTTTAAAATTTTAATTTATTTTTTATTTTTTATTTTTTTATTTTTTTATTTTATTTTTTTAATTTCTTTAATTATTTTTTTTAATTTTAATTTAATTTTTTTTATTATTATTTTTTAAGGGTGTGTGTGTGTGTGTGTGTGACCGAGAGAGAGAGAGAAAGAGAGAGAGAGAGAGAGAGAGAG